CCCTTTGGCAAAAATCAAACACTGACAAATAAGAGAGCACGACACTGTATGATTTCTAGAGCTGATATAGGGCAATTTGTTCAGCAGAGTGATGTAAGCTTCGTTATCATTGCATCATCCATGACTTCTAGGAATAACATGATGCAATTCATATCATGTATGACGCAATACCAGCTTTAGATTGCATCATTCATTGTTTTGCCTAAAAAGCAAGTACTGTCCAAACCCAGTCATAGATTTATTCATAGATCTAGTCAAAGATGTATTTTAGTCATTTCTGGTTTAAATTGAGATCCCTTCCCTTTATAACTCACTTATTCTCCGCCATTCGCAAGTCAAGGGTCGTATATACTGACCCAATAGCATATCTTGAAAACTAGAGCCAATCAACAATTTTAAGCTTCATTTTCGTTCTCAGTGACCCAGAGTTAGGAAAGTTTGACTACATTTATTTCAGAAGCATTTTAGCTGTAGAGCAGTGTAATCGGAGCAGGAGGGAAGAATAAGGATGGAATTCCACTTTTATATATTGATGTTGACTGGTGGGAATTCGTAGTGGGATTTTTTTTTAATTGGGGATTGTTTGCAGTTTAATGCATAGAGGTTTTACGTGATGTGTGTGCTGAAATTTCAAGTTTAAAGAATAGCAGGAATTTTTGTGACGTTTCCAAACTTAAAGTTAGGTCTCAGAGTCCATAGATCCCTAAGTTTTCAGAAGTATGTGCACTCAATTTCACACCTAATATGTATGCAGTTACCACAGTTACATGCACAATCAGTGTAAACTAGGTGTACAATTCTGAAATGTAATTTTCTGAAAACTTAGATCAGAATGGACAGTTCTACAATTAAGACTTGGATTTCAATTTAACATTAGCATTAAATTGACATATGAACTGGTATAATTCTAGACTGAGACATTAAATTGTGTATGAAGTTTCATGTTGTTCAAGAAACATGAAAACGCACAGTAACAGTTTCTGTTCCTGTAACCTATATGTTAACAGTTTTATAAAATGCTGTTAATATAATTCCCAAAGTATCCCATGAACTTTAGGGATTCACAGTTGTTGATTTGCTGTTTTACTGCAGGTGGAAGTTGCAGCTCCATGAACTGACAAAACTTCCTGCTTTTGTACGTGTGGTGTCAGCAGGAAATCTTCTAAGCCATGTTGGTCATACAGTCCTGGGAATGAACACAGTCCAGTTGTACATGAAGGTTCCAGGGAGTAGGACACCAGGTAAGTACAGATACTTTCTATGGAAAAAATCAAGCAATAAAATCAAGAAGGTGTTAACCTGGTCACATTGTAGATCCTATATAGTTTATAATGTGCATAACTATAACAAAAGAGTATATTAGAGTATGAGTTTAACAAGAAATTAGAAAATGCTTCATGCTGCATATGCAAAGTGACAGTTACAAGAGAAACTAACATTAACATCTGAAATTTCCTAACTTTTAAGTGCATTTATTTTCACAACCTTAAATGTTCATTATTTCTAGCCTTTTGCATTTAATTGCCTGTTTCTTTAAGAAAAATTAGACATGATTGACTAACTTCGTTTGCACATCTTGCAAGCTTCTGTAAGCTTTTCCAGCAGAGCTTGTAAGTTCCTAGAATGACAGTTTATAATTAAACCTTTAAGAGCTAAAGCTTGTTTAATTTAAACTCTTGTCACCTGAAGGTAAAAAATATCCTTCAGTGATAGATAGTTTTGTGATTAAGACATTGAACTAGGATTTAGGAGATCTTAGTTCAGTTCCTGGCTCTGCCTTTGGCTTCATATGTGACCTTCTGCAAGTCCCTTAGTGTATCTGTGCCTCAGTTTCCCATCAGTAAAATGGAGGTAATACTACTTTAGTCTGTTTTGTCTATATAGATTGAAAGCTCTTTGGAGCAGGAATTATTTCTTACTATGTACCTAAAACAGTGGGGCCCCAATCTTGCTTTGGGCTTCCAGATGCCCCCAAAATAAATATAATAATTGTTTTTGACTGAAGTTTAGGTCTAGCAGAGCTCTTAAGATCTACAAGAGGGGAGCCACAAAGCATTATGCACATCAAAGATTAGAGAAATTGATAACTTTTAGTCATCCATAAATCAATCAAAGCAAAACTGTGTTGTCACTAATACATATCCTAAGCAACAGTGTTTTAATTGTGTATTTTAAAAAAAATGGATAGATACTCAAATGCTGTGGTGCTAGGCATTATGTACATACATAATTAAGCTGTGATATAATTTACCTTAATAATAATTAGTGCTTACATAGTACTTTACGTGTTCACAGTGCTGTCAAAACAAAAGTATCATCACTGTGAAAATAACAGTTTTTCTCATGAATTTCAGGTCACCAAGAAAATAACAACTTCTGTTCGGTAAACATAAATATTGGTCCAGGTGACTGTGAATGGTTTGTTGTTCCTGAAAGCTATTGGGGTGTCCTGAATGACTTCTGTGAAAAGTAAGTTTCATATGCTGTCCTCAGATGTTTTGAGGGCTTCTGTATGTATACCTGACAGATGCAGAAACACCTCACGCATGCTGTCAATGAGGAGGTGAAGGTAATATTTTATAGCTTCTGATGAATCAGAAAAGTCTGTTAAAGTATAAAGGAAAAAACTAGATCTTATTCAGCATTTTAATCAAATAGATGACAATATGCAAAAAACAGCCAACTTTATGATTATCTCAGTTGCCTCAGAATAGTTTGCCCCCGACAGTCAGTACTTAACTTAGATTTATTTCAGGACTTTTAAAAAGAAAAAATAAAGGTGGTCGGGGAGGGAGCATAGATTACATCGGCGGTTTGTAATGGATATGGAGACTTTGACATGCAAGTCCAAGGTTCAAATTCAGACCATATCAGGAGGGCTCAGAAGTTATTACTCCCAGATGGCTGTAGTGGCCTCAGATGTATTTTAAGACCTCAATCCAATTTCCACCTTACAAAACCCTTCATATAATAATTGCCACCACTCTCTTGGATTTTTTCTTATGTACATGAATACTAACTAGCACTCTTACTCAAATGGTGGTCTTTCCATATCCGTTTTAAGGTACATTAGAAGGACGACAGAGAAATATTTATTGCTCCCATACATGATTAATCTGCTCAGTTACTCAACTGAGTATTTTGTGTACATGCAAGTGTTTTTGCAGTTTGTTTTTTTTTAATGGCCATAGTGTCTCACAATCAACAATGAAAATAAATCCATGTTGTGTTGATTCTGCAAATTAGCAAACTTTTAAACTACATTTGGGTTTTCTTATGTGTTCATTATTTGATTGTATGATAGTGATACATTCTTTTCAAAGACCGCACAAAACTGAGCCACTGACAACAACAGAAAAAATGTCACCAACATGACAAACAGCTTGGAACTAGAGTCAGACTATTCTGAAACTGCTAGAGGAAATCAAAAGGTGGAAGGCGAAAAGTCAAAGTAGTTCAAAGAATTTGAGAGATCCTGAATCACTGAAGATAATACAGCGCAGTCCTGGGCCTTACCATCTCACAAATAATGTGGCGTCAGGCTTAAGAGCAGCCTGACAGGCCCAAGGGATCAAAGAGAACAGATAAAAGGGACATGCCCAGCTCAGATCAGCCCTTGCATTTAAAATATATGAAGAAAAAGTCTAAAGACAGCCTTCATGAACAGTTTCAAGTAAGATGTGGAAGAGGATAAAAAAAAAGCAGTTAGTGATTAAATTATTGATGACTAATAGATCATATGTATTTATTCACTAGAAGAAATGTATATGAGCCAAAACTCTTCAGCTGATCTGACTGCAATTTATAATTAACAGTACAATTATTATATAGCAGTTAGCATATAGATTGTACTGTTGAATTGGTGGGTTGGATAATTAATTCAGTCACCATAGCAACTAAAACCTTGGCCTCTTTACTGAAACTGATAAGAAGAGAGCTAGTGGTGGTGGTCATGTTGAAGATGTGTTCACTAGTCACTATGCCTTGTCTAATCTAGACTTCTTTCCTAAAATTTCCCACCGTTGCTACCATCCAATTGTGGTAGCAATATTGGAGTGCTAGAGTAGAAAAGGCAGCAGCAAGTACTGGCATTTTGAACACCATGTTGTGCAGACCTGCTCTGAGCGGGGATAGATGACATAGTGGTTAAAATGATAGTAGTCATTCTACACTAATATTATGTTGATTGCGACTACCAATGGAGTTGTATTAGTGATAGCAATACTGGGAAATGTTAACAAAAAATAGTGTAGCCAAAACCCTGGACAATAAATGGAGGCCATCTGCTCATTTCGCACATGCAGCCAAATTGCTACATACCGATTCAGGACATAATGACCCTACACTGGATTCAAATCAGCCACTTGGAGAAGAAAACATTGGGGTTGGGTTTTTTATTTTTTACCATTTCCTGAGTCATTAATCACTAGTTGGAAGTATTTGTAATAGTGATCACTGTATGCAAGTATTTTGATTAACTTAACTTTATCTTGTTAGTAGGCATAGACCCTTAATTTATCTATTGGGAAATGTGGAAGACTGTTTTTTTCCTATTGTTTCAGAAATAATATGAATTTCTTAATGGGCTCTTGGTGGCCTAACCTGGAAGACTTGTATGAAGCCAATGTCCCAGTTTATAGGTTTATTCAGAGACCTGGGGATTTGGTGTGGATAAATGCTGGCACTGTTCACTGGGTTCAGGCTATTGGCTGGTGCAACAACATTGCTTGGAATGTTGGCCCTCTTACAGGTATGGTGAAATAATATGTATGGTGAGATAGATAATTTGTTCATATTGTACCACATGCATCCCAACTCTCTTGGGCTTTTTGTATTAAGTGACCATATTTTACTAGATAAAACTTGCATAGTCTCTTGAAACTGTTTCAGCACAAACTATATAATGTTAAAACCTGAAATTTTTTCCTCTGAAGGAAGGCTGAAAACACAAGCGTCACAGTCCTTTCACGATTTATTTAGACTAAGCCTCACCACAGTCGCAACTATAAATTTTGGTGTAAAGTCAAACAGAGAAAGGAAATGATTAGATGAACTCACTCTACCTTGCACTCCATTTCTCCTCTCCTCATCCTATTCATACATCTAGGAAAGAGGTTGCAGGGGACTATCCATCCGGTTAGTTTTTTTAAGACCCACGAGTTCTCCTATTTTTAATAATTACAGGCTATTATAAACCAGTATAAAATTCTTGAGTTTTTAAAAAGCTCCAGGAATATTAGCTTTAAGTACAGTCTTTCAGTTTAAAACCAATACAAACATTTGGCTAGATGTTTCAAACCTACAGCTACAAGAAAATTATGTAAAGTCATTAGGGTTCAACCTGGTATAAGCAGAAAAATAGAAAGATAATCTTAGATAATGGGAGGAAACACAGCAGACAAAAGAGGACCAGTAGTTACCTCCAAAAATAGCGATTTTCTTAAATAGTAATGCACACGACAAACTTTATTTTGGTTTAGTGCTATAAGCAGTATCATTCCAAGATCACTTGAATTGACTGGCATTCTCTGAGCAGCAACATACGTTTTGCAACAAGACACTCCTTATATTGCTTAGCATAAATTTAACATGCATAACATACCACAACAAACCTCTCTATATTGTGTAACCTATCTAGAAATTTCATATTGTAAATGACAGAATTATAATATAGAATTGGATGGAACAAAGGCAACTGCAGAAACTAGCAAATTAGGTTTTTAATCCTAAAATATTTGTTTACTTTTAAAATAAAACCATTTTAAAAACCATTACTTTATTTTAAAACGCTTTTTCAAGTTGTTATTGTGGAATTGTATATGCTGTAATTATTCTAAATATAAGGAACTATTGTGTAAAAATTTACTTTCAAAGCTGTAAAAATTGTAATGGTAACCACTATCGCATACAATATGTAGTTTTCTCCAATTTTACAAAATTCAGGTTTTGAGTATGACCAAGAGATCTTCTTATATCCTTTATTAGCTTATCTGAACGTTTCTGTAACTTTTTCTTATAGCCTGTCAATATAAATTGGCAGTGGAACGGTACGAGTGGAATAAACTGCAGAGCGTCAAGTCAATAGTGCCCATGATTCATCTTTCGTGGAACATGGCGCGAAATATAAAGGTCTCAGATCCAAAGCTTTTTGAAATGATCAAGTAAGTGTATTTTAAAAAATTTTATATCCATTTCCATTTTGACAGTTGACTGTTCTTATTTTGACCGTTGTTAAAACAGAATGAAACGAAGTCACATTTAATTTGAAAAGATTGTGAATTAGAACGCCACTTAAAAAACAAGGGTGATCTTTTTTATTTACAGAATAAATAATATCTTCCTAGTGAAATCCATTTTGTTAGATTGTGTTTAGCATTACATGAAATGAATGCTGTTTTGATGTGGTGAATCAGGTATTCAATGTATCTTTTAGGCCTAGATTTCCTGAGATATTTATCGTAACTGTGAACTCCAGAGTGTTTTCAAAAATATTTTAGGTTTCAATCTTGCAACTTGTATGCAGACAGACCTCTGTTGACTCTGATGGGGCCCTTCACGAGCACAAGGGTCTGCCTATATAGAACAACAAGTTGAAAGATTGGGCCTTCTGCTGTCAGTAAACTTCAGACTCAGGGTGAGCATGTTTAATTATTTTTAAAGTTAAACTAAATATTTTAATAGTAAATTTACTTGTTCATTTCCAGTACTCACATTTAACTGATTTATAGCCTATCACCAAGAGTGGCAGGGAAAACACCTTGACAAGCAAGGAGGCAGGGTTTGGAAAGCCTCTTTTTCCCCCCCACCCCTTTCATTTGAAGAGTTCTGCAGCTGATTAAATTGAGTAAATGAGCTGGTAACATTCTGGATTCAAAATTGAACATTTTCAAAAGTATGTTTCCCAGATTCAAGTCACCTTTAACATATCTTTCAAGGCATACAATCCATACAAAAATAAATCATCTGGCATCACTTCCGCCCTCTGAAATCCTGAGAAAGCAGATGAGCATTCCAGCATATTCTACTCCTGAGGGAAATCTGCACCAAGAAATTAAAAATTCTGTGCCAAAAAAGTAAAAATTCTGCACACAGTATTTTAAAATTCTGCAAATTTTATATGTCAATAAATAAATCCAGAGGCTCAGCATGACAGTGGGGAGCATAGGCCATTGGCTGCACAGAGGTGGGAGATCGCTGCTACCACCACCACCCGGGACAGAGACTCGGTGGTGAGACTACTCCGGGCCCTGACACAGCACAAGGGCTGGGCCTGCCCCAGAAATACCCCGGAGCCCTGTCCCTCCACGCCAAGTGCACCAGGTGTGGGCAGGCAGGCTCAGAGGCATAGCAGGATCCAAGTATGGAGGGCCTTAGTGTGGGGAGATACAGGTGTGGGGTGAGAGGGTTCTGTGTGGGGTCTTCTGGGTGCAGGTGGCTCAGTGGGGGGTCTGGGCGCAGGGGCAATGGGACTGGATTGGGGTCCAGTGAAGGTGGTTGGGGCTCAGCAGGGAGTGGTCTGGGTGAGTGTGGGGGGGGAATCTGGTGCTGGGGGAGTGGGTCTGAGGTGAGGTCCAGGTGCAGCTGGTTGGGACTCATAAGATGGGGGTCTGGGTGCAGGGAGGCTCATTGGGGTGGTCCAAGCGTGGGGATGGGGCTTCTCGGGGTGGGAGTTCGAGTCCAGGTGACTTGGGGGGGGGGTGGTCTCGGTGCAGGAGGGGAGCTCCAGGCGCAGGGGTGGGGCTCAGCAGGGGGGCTGGGTGTAGGGGGATTCCAGATGCAGTGGGTGAGGCTCGGCAGGGTGAGGTTTCAGGTGTGGGAGCCTCAGTGGGGGGTTCTGGGTGCTGGGGGTGAGGCTTGGCTGTGGTGTCTGGGCATGGGGGCATCCGGGTGCACAGGGGTTGGGTGGACAGGGGAGCAGGAAGTAGGGGGAGGGTGCGGAGCTTCCTGTAGTCAAAGGAGGTTTATGGGGGTGGGTCTGCCCTGGCCATTCCTTGCAGGGGAAGAGGAAGTCCCATCCTGCCCAGCCCAGCTGGGACTAGCAGCTGAGCCCAGCGGAGGATAAGAGCCACTGGCAGGGGTGTCCTCAGCACTGCCCCCTATGGTGATATACCTCTCCAATGGCTGCTCCAGGCACCCAAAATGACACACCTATGCTGCTCGGAAGGGGCGCACGACCACTCTTGCGGCTTCCCTATCAGAAAGTCATTTTTCTGCAGCGAAGCAAAAAAATCTGCAGGGGACGTGCAGTGGCACAGAATCCCCCCAGGAATAATATTCTGTAAGCCAACATATTTGTGATCTTTTGGGTCACTTCAGGCAAGATAGAGGAGAATGAATTTCAGAGTAAATGACTCATCACAAAGAATGACCTGCAGCTCTCATCCTTTTAAGATGAGGGGGCTTATAAATCACCTTGAAGGTGACCTGTAAAAATTGGGTTTAACCCTGCAAAGCAGAGAGAAAATTACACTGTCACACCCCTCTCCTTTAAGAATCTATTAAAAAGAAAAAGGGGAGGGGGAAGTTTCAGGGTATTTTCCTGATTCGTTTTTACATTAGACATTTGTGTTCTGTCTAGACTAGAACACACCCTGATGATTGGAGAACTAACAAAATGGTGACAACACAAATGCAAAGATTGGAAGTTGAGAGAGGAAGGGATTTTTAGTCAGACTGTTTAAGAGTCTAGGTTTTAGGGGGTTGTGAACATCTGTATAGCTTCAGTGACTAACTTTTGGGGTAAAGACGGCCTTTATTAAAAATTCAACATCCTTACCCTTTCAGTTAAGATGCTAGAGGTCACAGTAAGCATCCTTGGGAAGTCCCAGAGATTCTCTAGCAAACCCAGGAAAGACTAAACTTGCTTTTTGTTTGACCAACAGCTTCTGGGAATCTAATTAGATGCCTAAATTGCAAATGTATACTACAAATGAAGAACCCTTTAATCAGATGGGCAGATAAAATATTTTGCCATACTTTGCAGTTGTTTTCCCCAGTCTACCCATTATTTCTTCTGTTTTATCTGGATTAAGCCATCACCCAGCCCACAATTTTTGCTAGACTCTGAGACAAGTGTTTGTTCATACTTATCAGGTTAGTTGAAATGGAGACAGAAAGGTGTGGTCAGCATACAGAACATACTGCAGTCCATATCTCTCCTCTAGTCCTCATTTCGGCCCCATATATAGAGAGAATAGGGGTTCCAACTGGTACTCTCTGAAGACTCATGTGAGTGCCCTTTGGAGAGAAGAGCCATTGTCCAAAACTATCCACTGGACCTACTCAAGGGGAAAGGAATGGGGCCGCCTGAGACTAGCTATGTCCACTCCTGCTAGCTTCTGTGCTATATTGCCAACACTTTATAGTCATTGGTTTCAAATATAGCTCATTGAATATCAGCATGAACAGTTGATCTTGATAAATAATCTCTTCCTAATTATGAATAAATGCAACAGATGCCAGCTCTGTGCCAAATGCAGATTTGTATCCAAATTGACACAGGTCAAGGAAATCCAAGGCATCTAGATAGTCTAAAACATTGCCTCTTCTGGGAGTTAAGTACCAAAATAGGTAGGAAACAGGGTAGAGGAGGAGTTTTTGCTAAAATAAAAAAGTGACTTGTGCTTCTCATTTGAAAAATAAGCAAAAATGTTCTGCAGTGACATATAGGCACTGGCATACCTGGCAGTGAGCACTATTTAAAACTACATGTGAGTAAGGATACCTGTAAATGTTTAGGATGACTGTGCAAGAGAAAGAATTAAAATGTATGCATTTGAAAGAAAGTTTGAGCATCTTAAGACACCACAATAAGCATGCAACCCAGCCTTGTTCTTTTAAATAAAAGCAAACAAAAAGTACTAGAAGCTTATAAAAAAGCAGTGTTCAAAGATCTGAAGGTGGGGCTGGAATTGTTTGGGGAACCAAATAATAATATCCAAAATAAGTTAGATTGCTCTGAGAAAAGATACCCCCATCTCCCAAAAAGCAAAAGAATCCCCAGATGATAACAGCAGAAGTGTCTAAAGGGAATAAGAAAGGTATTTACAAATGTATCGGGCCAAAAGAAAAAGGAAATATTAGAGAAGTGTGGGGACATGTTAATGAATGAGTAGAGAGACGACAATTCTAAAATGATTGAAATACTCAATAGCTTTATAGGAGGGAAAAAAAGTCATTTGGGATGAAATAAAGAAAATGGGGTTTGTGTAACTAGAAAGCAGTGAAGGGATTATAAAAGCATCAGTAGAAGGATACTTAGAAAATAATGAATATGCCCAAATCAGCAGATCCAGATGATATGCATCCCAGGATATTTACACCAGAGTAGACAGATGACTGAAGGATATATTTATAGAGAACAGCCCTGCAGCAAGGGGATGGACAAGATGCAAACCAAGCTTTGAAAACTTCACCAAATATATAAAGGTTCAGATGCAGACCTCACTGCCCTTCCTCACAGAAGAAATCAGGCTGACATCTCCCTCACAGTGGGTTCACCCTATGTCTGTACTAGACTGTAAGGTCTACCCTTCTTTACCACAAACCTATCCCATACCCTAATAAAGTATACTACTTAGAGCAATGTTTCCCAAATTTTTGAAAGCTGAGCCTGCCTTCAGGAAAGTGAAATTAGTCGTGACTCTCATCAGCCCCACTGTGTTGTTAATTTATACATCTTTCATCTACCCCTTCTCCTTAACAAGTCCTTCAGACATCACACACTTGGGGAAACACTGGTGTAGATCTTCATAATGATACTTACTCTTCTTTCTTACATGCTTTGATTAGCAATGAAATACTTTAAAATGTCAATATTGTTAACCATCATTGGCATCACAGTTTTTAGGCTCTCTAAAAGCTCAAGTAGATATCGCTGCAGCATCTGCTCTTGTTTTGAATGCTTTCTTCACAACTATAACAGCTAGAAAACTTTTTGACAGTGAAATCTTTAGACTCTGAAGAAGAATTGAGGGTAAGGCTTTTAGGCCTGCCTAAAGAACCCATCTAAATATTAGCATGGGAGCACAAAATATTGACACCTTTTTTAATTTCTTTTTAATTCAGGGCATACTTCGTAAGCAGGTAGTGTATCAGACTTTTTTCCTAAATTATTAAACTAATAAATACTACTTTTTTGTGCACTTTCAGTTACAAAAACAGTATAGCCAGCAAATAGAATAGATAGAAAATTAAAAGGTGTCTTTCCAGTCCTCAGATGTCTGATGCTGGACTAATCCCACCTGCTGCTTTCCTATCATTACCCCAAACTGATAAAAATTTAATTGGCTAATCTCAAAGGGCTGATTGCAATGGCATGTTGGAGAGAGCTGGGCTGATTAGGGATTGCACATACCAACAGCCTGCATAGATTTAATGTATTTGATTTTCTGCAGCCAGCAAATTATGAACCCTGCCCCATATGACCCAGAAGTCTCCATTATTCTTAATGGCAATTCAGTTCAAGAACTAAATAGATTAAATAAACTGATACTCTTGTAGAATAAGTATATAATATGATGGCTCTTAATGAGCAAGTGTATAATTGAAAATCCACTTGCATTCTCTCTGAGGTACTCAGTTTAGATTTAAATATTGGTAAATGCCATCTGATGGGCTAAATGACAGTTGACCCATATTTTGGGTGACCAGACATCCTGTTTTTAAAGGGACAGTCCCATATTTAAGCCCTCCTGCAGGTGTCCCAACCTTTTTTTTAAAATGGGCACGTTGTCCCATATTTTCTGTCTCTCTCCCTCCTCACCAGCTGCCCGCCCACCAGCAGTGAGTGGGGGGTGCAGTGGCCAATGATGGGGTTGGGTGTGCAAGGGTGGTGGCGGGGCCAAGTTGCAACATGTGGGGCCCATTGCTCCCCCTGCTGGTCCAAGCACTCAGCTTGCCAACAGCCTGGCTGGCAGGCTCCTTCCTTCCCCCACTGCCTCTGGCTGGACCGGGGCCCAGGAAAGCTCAAGATCCTCCAGCCTGGGGCACTGGCCAGGAGGAGCCGAGCCCTGCACATTCCAAAGCCCCGCACAGTGCTGGCATGGGGAAGCCTTTGCACCCCTCAGCTAAGCTCTGGAGTGGTGTGGGGGGAAGCAATTTCAAGCCTGTTCATGACCCAACCCTGCAGGCTCCACAGCATCCCCCGGGCAGGGGCTTAGCACCCTCTTCACCCCCCACACCCTCACCCTGGGTCTTGCCCCCATGGAGTGTGGGGCTGCTTCGTCCCCTAGGTCCCCTCCCCTGCTGAGCCGCCTCTCTGGCTGGGTTTGGTGAAGCCCCTGCAGTCAGGATCCCTGTGCCCTGGTGCACGATGCATCCTTGGGGCTTAACCCCTTCCTGTCCATGCTGTATCCTGGGGACAGGAGGCAGCTGGGTTATGTCCATGGCCAGCAGCAGCCTGGAGGTGTTAGCTGCCTTTCGACTGTACGGGCATGAGGGACAAGCTGCATCCAGCCACTGGGGAGCGGGAATTGGGGGGGTAGAAGAGATGAGCTCTGCAAAGACATGGGCCAGGTCATCACTCCCTCCCCCTTCTCTCCTGCGGCTGGAAGCAGCTCCCTTCCCTTCAGCAATGCCAAAAGGTGGCTGCTGGCCACATTCTGATGTGAACCCTGGCAGAAATCGGGTGAGGGAGCATGTGACCGTGTGTGCCCCCTCCTTTCCCCCCGCCAGTGTGTTGCTTCAGGAAGATGCGTCGCCAGATACCAGGAGATATGTCTGTTTTTAAAATGTTTCATTAAAAAAATGTTATGGTTTTCATATAAATTAATTCCCTGCTCTCCTGCAGCAAAACTTTTCCAGGCGGTTAGCTCTTGTCTTCTCTGACTTGATCATTCCTGCTTTTGTTTGACATAATCCCAGACCTTTTCTTTTCCATTGGATAAAGTTAAGTCACTCGATACTAAAAAAATAATAATAATAATAATATTTGGTTTAAACTTTGTAACACTAATTTGAATGTTTGTGCTATAGCAACTTTAGATTAAAATTTATAATGAAGTAAATTATGCTTTTTTAAAGTGCCACTACATTTAGGGTCTCATTTGAATTTTACTAAGTTTTGATAGTCAAAAACAAAAATAGTGAAAATTAAGGACATGATCCTGCAAATACTTAAGATAGGTACACATAACATTAGCTTTACTTACATGAATATCTCCTTTCATTGAGTTCAATGGGGGATTACTTGTGCTTGAAATTAAGCACGTGTATAAGCATGTCATGCATTGGGGCTAAAATTGTATTTGTATTAAGCATTTCTTATAGTGGCATAAAATCTGTTGCTTCAAAACAAAATTATCTCAGTGTTAGCAATGAAAAGTTATTTAGACTTTAAATACATTATCAAAGTTATTGAAAACTTTTATATTCACAGGCCAAAAAATGTTTAGTTTTTTCAACTTTTGAAAGTTCAGTATGTGAGAAGGTGGTGTCAGTTGCTAATGTAGAATGGGCTTATTTGCAATTTTGACTTCGAGTTTGTGTTGCTCTTGAAGTACAATGCTAACAAGTCCCTGAATTTGGGTGTTGCGGGCGGGGGGGGCGAACATAGATGAACATTTTAAGCATGAAACGTCAAAGTCTCAGTGAATAATCTAAAATTTTGCTAACATAAAGAAACAAGTATAAAACATACCTTAGCATTTTAAGACTATAAAATGAAAAGAAAGTAAGGAGCTAGCACTGTGTTTGAACAATATTTTGGGGGGTGGGAAGGGGAAATAAAACTTTTTTCCACTTAGTTTTCCAGCTAGCATTTTTTCTTCCCCTTATGTTTTCCAGTGTCTGTAATGTACGTAACTCCCCTTTGGAGAGGAAAATCAGAGAACTGCTCAAATGCAAGGATATTTGAAAACTGAAAATTATTGTAAATGACATATAAATTTGAAATTTAAAAAAGTCAGGTGACCCATTTTGGCCCACTTATGAGAACACACTTGTAGTTCTCATAATATTGGAAAGCAAAAGGCTGTATTGCTTGACAGGATGAGCTAAAATTCAAATCTGTTTTTTGTCATTTACATACAAATACTGCAAACAATTGTAATACTGCATTCCTTAATGCAGTAAGCATACCAGTGTCTACATTTTCTTCCATTTTTAGATAATTTTTTTCTAGAGAAATCTACAGAAAAATATTTTCTAAAACTAGTGTGGGTATTTTTTTCCCCCTCCTAATCTATAATAATTTCTACCAGAACTCAAGTTTCCACACTTTAGGCCACTGGAAGACAATTGTGTTTGAAGTGATTTCCTTTTAGGATGTTTGTATAAAATGATGCTTTGGGTCGGCAACATAAAGCTTTGAGTTTCATATATGAAATGTAAGCTGTTTGTTTTAGCCCAGTAAGTCAACCAAACTTCTTGTTGATAATGTTAGATTAAAACAGTTGTATAACTACAGTACACTGAAAGCACAGTATTTCACTGTTTAAGCAAGTTTCATTTGCTCAAATTAAAATGAAATATATGGACTGTGGTGGTGGAGGTTAAGGTTGAATAAATCAACAGATAAAGTTTAGTTTTTGAACTAAACCCAGGGGAAATGTTTGTGTATAATAATTTACTTTTGATTTTTGTGATAGGTATTGCCTGTTGAGAACTCTCAAGCAGTGTCAGACATTGAGGGAAGCTCTAATTGCTGCAGGAAAAGAGATTGTGTGGCATGGGCGAACAAAGGAAGAGCCGGCTCATTACTGTAGCATTTGTGAGGTCAGTAGAAATAAAAAACTTCGCAATTTTAAATTGATCTATTTTTGGGATGTCTTCCATTATTATTACTGCTGTTATTAATTTTGTATTTCTTTATTTGCATTACAGTAGCTCCCACAGTCTGCTAGGTGCTGTAAATAGATATATGTAAGAAGACACAGTGCTATCTCCTAAGCCCTTACAATCTAATCTTTTAGATATGAGCTGTATTTTGCTAAACTCTCTTTTGCAATGGACATATTGTTAGTCATGCAATGTTTTTCCATTATCTGGGATTCTAAAAAAAGGTTCATCCCATCTGTACTGAATTTGATCCGCTGAGCTTCATTTTTAGAATTTTATTGTTTTTCACTGGTCAGAAATAGCCCCAAAGAGAGAGAGGACTTTGGAGTGCACTCTTCACAGAACATGACTGTCTTGCTAGGTATTTTGATTCTCCCTAGTATTTAATACTGTATTATGTTTTTAAAGAACAGGATAGCAATTTTGCTAAAGACCAAATGAAAAGCATCATTTTAGCACTTCTTCAGATCAGGCACTTGTCCCAAGCTGAGAAGCCTAAAAAAAGGGGTGCACTGAAAATTAGTAGGCACTTGAAAACATTGGCCTTAATTTCTCTGTTTACCCATCTGCAAAATGTGTATAATGCTTACAGTATGTACCTTACAGGTGTAACCCTCAGATTATGAAACTTTCTTGGTAATATTCGACTGCGCTTTCTTTAGTGCCTTCAGTCAAACATCTTAATCTAGTAGTAGTAGTAGACATGAGTTGGAAGAGTGCCTACCTCTGTGACTGAACCTTGGAGGTGTGAATTTTTCTTGAGCTACTTTGTCTTTTTTCTATGTTCACGTGCAGACAGTCAGAATATAAATCCCAAACCAGCCACACCTTATTTTTTGTAGCTTTCCAAAACCAGATGTCAACACTGATTTGTTTCCTATCACACAGGTGGAAGTCTTTAATCTGCTTTTTGTCACCAGTGAGAGCAATTCTCGAAAGACCTATGTTGTACATTGCCAAGACTGTGCACGAAAGATAAGCGGGAACCTGGAAAATTTTGTGGTGCTAGAACAGTACAAAATGGAGGACATGATGCAAGCCTATGACCAATTTACATTAGTAAGTTATAGTCAATGGGTGCAAAACTACCTTTGTAAAGCTGTTGTATGCTGTCTTGGTACCTATTTGTATATGAATACCTTGGATTTTCTGGTTCAAATGGATTTATAGAATTATATTTTCAGTTTTTACAGAAAAAACATGGAAGCGGCAGAAATGCATGGAAAAGTACAATAATTTACTATAGAGTATATAAATGAGTTTGCAGAGAAAAACGGGTGTTAAAATTCACAAGGATGAAGCTTAAAATTCTAATATAGAGGCTACCTGAAGATCACGTCTGGATCAGATGGAGACAGGGCCACCCATAACTGGGGCGGGGCGGGGAGGTGGCAAAAGGGGCAGTTTGCCCTGGGATCCCATTTGAGTGGGCCTCCAAAATCACCACAGGGCAACTGTGCCAGATTTGAGTGACAGGCATTGCGACTTGGCATATGGGGTCTCAGCGCCATTCAGGTTTGGCTCAGCCACCCCTTCATCATCATGGAGGAGCAGCTGGGCCAAATTTGAGTGAAAGGCATTGTGACATGGCACACAGGGTCACAGTACCACTCAAGTATGGTGCCCGCCATTGATTAGTGTTGGAGACGACTCACCCATCCCAGCTGGGCTCGTATCCAGCCACCGCTGGCATCATTGCACTGGGCCTAAGGCAACCTGCCAGGCTGAAAGTCTGGAGGTAGGAGTGAATTGAGGGGTCTGGGATACTGCTCCCACTGGCAGCCGGACTAGAGCTCTGGGAGAGTTGGAACCAGAAGGTGGCTCACTGGCTGCATGCAGGTTAGAGTCCCACCGTTATCTCCACAGGGATGGCAGTGACCCCACAGGCCTGGGCCCTTTCTTAAACCCACCCCATCCCATTGTGTTAAACTCTTCCATCTCCATGGTAAGTTTTTTGGAATGGTGGAGTCCTCAGTTTCAAACTTTGCCTTGGGCACCCAGAAATCTCTGTGCGCCCTTAGATTGTGAGGGGAGGAATAAAAGTATGAAACTGAGAGACTAGCACCATGTTTAAGAGAAACTTGGACGTTATTTCTAGTAGGAAATCAAAAAACCTGGCTTTCTCTCTGCTTGGCAAGAGAATTCTCTCAAACTATTCTGTTTGGGGCCTCCTTTGCATCTGAGTTATAAAGCAAAAACCCTGCTGTCCATTACCTTTGCCCATTTGTAGGTTTGTTCTGTATGGTGTAGCCTGCTGGTTTGAACTGTGCTATCGCATGATTGTTCATTTGTTCCATATGGTTTTCAGTGTTGCAGGCAAGGTCAGATGTCTTGTCCATAATCAGAGTGAGAGTGGTGCTAAATTGATTCATGATGAACCTTGCATTCACAGGAAAGTAGACAGTGCTTGGATAGAGTGTTCCGAGATGTTGTATTGTAATTGAATATGGCAGTCCAGATATGATTGTGCCTTTTGATTAATTTCCAGCTGCAATTCAGTGTTGGTTTGCGGAAATGTTTTTTCTCTTTACTAGACTTCTGAGACCTGTAAGCTTTTAGCTAAGGTATCATAATCTAAATATCCAGTGCATTCTTAGTGCAGGACCCTCTACTCTGGAATTTACTCCCTCCGTTGATGTAACAGAGCTCAACGTTATTGGCTTTTAGTTCACATGTAAAAGACCCAAAATCATTGTTTGTGAAGCACTCAGATACTGAAGTGATTGTTACAGAAAAGTCTATAAATATCTGTTCTCCCAGACTTCTTCTAAGATGAGCCGGAAGGCTTGTATAGGGAAGAGTTCTGTTGTCTAATTTTTAGCATGTTCATCTAGATAATTGTTGTGATTGATGATTTAAAATAATTGTACTTGTGCCCAGAGAGTGTTAATGTAAAATATTAATCAAATGCAAATTGTACTTGAATATGCAAAAAAAAAATCACAAATGTAGTCTTAGAAAAATCCTGAAATATAAAACCAATAATGTTAATTTGTCCCTTAAACTTTATACATATTGTTTACATGGATCTTTACTGAATAATTGCATTTTGCCCATTATAGAAAAAGTAATTTATTTTTTCTTTCCAGGCTCCTCCATTGCCATCCTCCTCATCTTGACATTTTTCCATGGACATTAAATGAAAACTTTTCTGATATTCAGGAAGTGACCCAGTTCTGCACCACTGATTTTTTTTGTAGCTATCCTGTAAGGCTGCTGGCTTGAAAGCTGTGTCTATGCAACCTTCCAAGTGCGGAGTGTCAACCAACTGGACAGGAGAGAGCACTGCCTCCTATTCCAGAACTCAAAATAAATAAAGCTCATCCAGCTGTAGTTCAAAAAAAATAATAATAATTCCATGTTTTGTATATATCTGACAAAACTGGCAACATTATACAGACTACTGACTTGAAGACCACCTCTTTTGTATTTCTCTGTTTCTGGGCTGATGAATTATTTTCATCCATTTTTCCCCTTCAGAATTTCCCTTGGAAAAAGTACTAGCTTAGCTGGTCATTTCTTTGTAAGGTAGTTAGAAATTTTAAGTCTTTCTTTGGGCAACTTTTTATGTGAAAAGTTAGGTGATATAAATTTTTTACTGCTTTTATGTTTTTCTGTCTTGTTTTGAAACCATGACGGTTACACTTTTGGTTCCTAAAATAAAATTTAAAAAAATTAACAGCCAAGTCACAAAGATAAATGGGTTGCACATAGACTAAGGAATAAACTTCAGATTTGTGATTTTTGTTTCTAATCTTGATGTAAATTTACACTATTTATAAATACATATTTATTGCTTGAAAATATTTGTGAATGGAATGCTGTTATTTTTTCCAGATTACCTGCCATTGAAATTTTAAGGAGTGCTGTAATTTCAAACACTACTCCTATTACATTTTCTATATGTAAATAAAACTGCTTAGCATTGTACAGAAACTTTTATTAAAATTGTTTAATGTTTAAAGTTTTTCTATTGTTTGAGTTTTAAAAAAGATTTTATGTACAGTGCCTAGGTTTTGTTCATTTTTGGACTCTGATTATATATATTTTATATATACTCGTGTGTGTGTGTGTATATATAATATATATAGAATCTGAATATAAATATATGTATAAAAATTTAGAGCCTAAATTTCTCTCATTTTAAGTTTTACAAATATGGTAGATATGAGTTGTCTACTGTAAAGTATTGCTTACAAAAGTATGATTATTTTTAAAGAAATATATGGTATGTATCCTGAAGACATAAAAAACCCTTCAGACTGGTTTATTGTTAAATTGCACTTTTTGCAATAACAGGCTAATAAATAGTTGCTGCCAAAATGTAGTATTAGAAAACAAATAGTGGCTAACCTTAAAGGTCACAGAGAAGTAATGGGTTTGATAGGAAGGTTAGAATAATTTTAGAGGTGACATGACAATGTTAACCATGGGCTTTGGGGGATATGGTATATAGAATTCAACCAAATTGAAATTTGTGTATTCCAATAGTTTCTGTTAACAAACTAAAATAAGACTTTGTCATCTTGGTGTCAGTTTTGACCCAAAAAGGACATTGTTTTGTAGTATTCTTTTGTATTTTCACATATTTTGTAATAGAAAATCACTGGTAAATTTTTGAAGCACTAGGTTTATTTAGGGTAACTTTATAATATATGACTGTAACACTATTTGCAGTTTGAAATAATGATGGCATTTATTTTATTAAGTTGCTCATAATATTTCTCAGCAGTTCCTTAACGCATTAAAACTAAATTTCAACATTTATAGTTTTCTTAGTGGATTAGAGTTGACTGATGCATAGAATTCTGCATCAAATGAACAGAATTTTCCACTGTTTCTAGCGCGTAACCCAGCTGATTGCATTGTTACCTTTTCCTGTACTCAATGTGAGATATTACAGACACAAAGCATGCAGATCTATTAATTAGCTACTAATTTGGTAAATATTGAACGATGACTAAGAGCAATTGCCTCTTGTTTTTGTAGTTTCAAAAGAAAATAGTCTCCTTTAATCAAGAATCAGTAGACTTAGTTAAGTGCTCTTGCTGCAGTTTAACTAGTTATAAATGATTTTCACACCACTTTTTAGCTGTTGTTAAACAAAAGGGTATAGAGATTAAAAGGAAGTATAAACTCTCATCCTCTTGCCAGCAAAATTATAAACTAGCTGTTAGGAAGCAAATATTTTCAATTCTTTAAAGCTAAATCAGGGCTTTTGATAACCAATTCTGCAAATAACTTTTTAAATTATGTATTATATGCAGACATATTGTAATCTTGAAAAATCATGCTGCAGCTGAAAAATCACTCCTTTGTGGTAGCTTTAAACCAGAATCAGAGCAAGAAAATTTACCTCAACTAATGGTAAACAAAAAGATCCTCTTATTTCTTAGTACGAGCAAAGAACATTGCCTATTAGGGAAAGGACTGTTGTGGTGTATTAAGCAAAAGGGCTCTGTAGCTTTTTTTGTTTTTTCCTCCCTCTTGGAAAGGAGAAGATATCACATACTTTTAATAAAGAAATTTTTATTACAGCAATGAAGCTGCAGGCAAAACCAGGAGATCAGCAGAGAGAATACTGTGACAGTCTGACTGAAGGCTTTATTGTGGTTTTAAATTGCCATGGAGCTTTAACATTTTACAGTTACAATGTTTATCTTAATTACAGTATTCTGCTGAAATGTGGACAATTTTTAGATCTATAAGCTGCTGTAATTTAGAATGCTTTGTGTTTCATTTTTATTAAAAAGGCACAAGTTAATATATATATTATCAATTGTAGTTATTAGAGATATAACTTTGTGCTGCTTAAAATGTGAGATACCTGGTGTATGTGAGATACATTTGTAATCCATCACAGAATACCTATGAGCTCTCAACTCATGAAGATAAATGGCTTCTGAGCAGGACTAAAGGGACCAAAAGCAGCCTAATGTCCACAAATCTGTATCCCTTTTCTCTTTTCAATCTAACAGTGGCCTTTTGAACTCAACATATGAACCATAGTTCAAGTGAATTCGATTGGCACACTTACTTATGGCTACAGGTCAGTTTCAATGGCAAAATCAGATGTGTAAGAGAATTAATAGCCAGTTCTCCTTCATAAAAATGGCCCACCGATGTAAAACTGTTTTTGTTTTGTTTTTTGTTTTTTTAAACTAGCAGTGTTCCAGGCTATGAGTTTTGATGCAGGAGTTCTACCAAGCCCCAGAGCATTTATAAAAGTAGTACACTTCTTTTCTGGAATGTCTGAGTACAACTAGTACAGGACTAATAAATAGGGAAGGAGGAGGTATAGTGAAAGCATCTATAAAACCAATGTGATACACATTGATAGTTAACAGAGTAGTGGCAAAATATGCTGGCTAAAGGGAATTAAATGAGAAACTGCAGCCCACATCCGATACAGACCCCAGGATTTGAGGAGAGCAAAATAAGCTCTTGCTCCCTGGTGTACATTTGAGGAGGAAGAATAGTCTGGTGCTTAAGGCATTGGACTTTGGGTTCGATTCTAGCTCTACCATAAACTTCCTGTGTTATCTTCAGGAGGTCACTTAATCTCTCTCTGCTTCAGCCTACATATGTAAAAAATAGGGGTAATACTTCCTACCTCACAGGTGTGCGGGGAGCTAAATTCAGAAGTGTTTGTGAAGTGCTCAGATGCTGTAGTGATGTAATCCATATAAGTAGACAGTACTGTCCAGACATATGTTTGGTAACAAATACAGCAAAATGACCAATCAAAAATTTTACACAGGACAATTTCATGATCCAGAAAACAAAGCATCCTGGAGCTACTTCCTACTAATAAGGAGACATTTTGAAAAGGTAACTAACGTAATGTTGCCTTATTGCAATGAGTGCGAGCTATTTGAATTCAGCATAATAAGCAATGGGTTCTTGAAATAAAGGTAGTGGATTTCAACAAAGCAAACTTCAGGGGTATAATAAACATACTTGCATGGTGCCATGACAGCAAGTATTAAAATCCATGAGTTGGGGGTGGAGGATAATTCTAAGAGGGCATATTTGAGATGCAATAGACTACATTTTTGCTGAAAAATTAAACGATGAACGAATAGGAAGTAGTCAGTGACTGAGAAATTGTTCAAAGACAAGTGCATGACTCAGAAAAGGGAGGGAACTGGAAAAGAAAAGAATAAAAGCTTACAGGAAAAAGTATGGGCAGCCAAAAAAGCGGAGTACGTTTGTTTAACCCAAAGAAGTGAGAGAGGTTTCTTCTTCGAGTGCTTGCTCATGTTGATTCCATTCTAGGTGTGTGCATGCCCACATGCACAGTCGTCAGAGATTTTTGCCTTAGCTGTATCGTAGGGATGGCTGCGGCGCCCCTTGAAGTGCTTGGGGGAGTCCCATAGAAAGGACAAGTGCAGAATCTCCTGACAGCTTGGCTGCTGCAGGGTTAAATGCAGAGGAGCAGGAGTGCTCGGCTGGAGTCCAACAGGTCCTGTTGGGCAGCAGAAAGCCCTCCATCAGAGTGACCTACCTAGCCAAATGGAAGTAGTTCACTTGTTGGACCTCAGATAAAGGCATTTGGCCCAAGCAGGCCTCACTGCAGTTAATCCTGGACTACCTTCTGCATCTTAAGCTCCAAGGCCTGTCCATTTTATCTATTATGGTCCACTTGGCTGCTATCTCGGCCTTCCATACGCCGCTGGAGGGTAGGTCGCTTTTCATCCAGGACATAACTGCCAGGGGCCTCAAGCGTCTCTATCTGCCCGTCAGGGATCCCGTCCCTCTGGGGGACCTGAATCTTGTGCTGTCATGGCTCACGGTACCCCCACTTCAAGCCTCTGGCTTCCTACTCTCTCCTTCTTTCCTGGAAGGTCGCGTTCTTAGTTGCAATAACATCTGCCCACAGGGTCTCTGAGATGAGGGCGCTTACCTCAAAACCGCCTATATGGTCTTTTACAAAGACAAGGTCTTGCTGTGGCCACACCTGGCTTTCCGGCCCAATGTGGTCTCTTGGTTTCATATAGGCCAGGACATTTATTTACCTGTCTTTTTTCCAAAGCCGCATAATTCGGAGGAGGAGCATAGATTGCATTCCCTAGACATCAGGAGGGCGCTAGCCTTCTACATTGAAAGGCCAATGTAGAAAGCCTTCTACATTCCGCAAGTTGACACAATTGTTCTTCGTGGTGGCTGACAGGATAAAAGGTCATCCAGTGTCTGCTCAAAGAATTTCTTCTTGGATCACTGCCTGCATTCACTGCTGCTACAATCAGGCAAAGATTCCCCCTCCAGCGATCGTAACTGCCCATTCAACCAGAGTGTAAGCCTCTTCTGCAGCTTTCCTAGCCCAAGTACCTATCCAGGACATCTGTAGGGCAGCCACCTGGTCATCTGACCACATGTTCACATCACATTACCCACTTACCCAGCAGGCCTGGGATGATGCTGGCTCCGGAAGAGCAGTGCTGCAAGCCTCAAGACCATGAATTCTGAGCCCACCTCCGAGGGTACTGCTTGTGAGTCACCTAGAATGGAAACGACATGAGCAAGCACTCGAAGAAGAAAAAACGGTTATCTACCTTTTTGTAACTGTTGTTCTTTGAGATGTGTTGCTCATTTCCTGCCCTCCTGCCCCTCTGTCGGAGTTGCCAGAAGAAGGAACTGAGAGAACGTAGGGCCAGCGACACCTAATATACCAGTGTGTGAGCGCGGCAGTCAAGGGGGCGCCGCAGCCATCCCTACGGACACCACTAAGGCAAAAATCTCTGACGACTGTGCACATGGGCACTCACACACCTAGAATGGAATGGACATGAGCAACTCATCTAGAAGAACAACAGTTATGAAAAGGTAGGTAACCGATTTTTGGTTTTTTACAAATACATTGAGGGAATTAAGTAAGAATACTAAAAAGAAGGTAGATAATAAATAAAGCAGGTGTAGATAATTTTCATCCCATGGTCCTCAAGTAAGTAGATAATGAATGTA